TGTTCAAGCTCGGATTAATAATACTAATGATATGCCGAATAGGGACAATGGACATGTCACAAGCATGTCATACAGGACTATAAACACTGTATCACATTCTACTAAATATCTATTCATCCATTTATCGGTTTGTTCAGCCTTGCATTACGCATTTATCGGATTGTTCAAAGATGCGGAACAGACCTTTACACCCTATAAATAAATTAATATTTAAATTTTGAATGAAATTCATGACCTAGGTTTTGATAACTAATTAATGGGTGTGATTTTAATGAATGCATACACGATTGACACGAGCTTGTCATCTTGTCAGAGGTTACAAATCCATGTTTCTGATCTGAAATGTCAAAGTTTCTTACATTGTAGCCAATTATTGATCCTGAACCATTAAAAGTTTCTGTTGAAAGTTATCTGATGCTTTGCTTGATACCCGAACGCGTGCTTTTGCTTTAAGTTAAAGTTGGGGGAGAGGGGGAGAGGGAGAGGGGGAGGGGGGGGGCATCTTAGGCCAGGTGATAAAGCCTCCTCTGACCGAGCTTTTCCATTGCCCACAGCACTATCCTTGAAACAACGATAAACTTCTGTGAGGATAGGACTGATATAAAATCCCAGCAACGTATTTTTGCCAAAAATACACATTGAAATTTCAAGGTTAGTCTATAACCTGCTTCTATCTTTGACCTCTTGTGGACTAACATGTCCTAAATAACACGATATAACATGTCGGTAGACAAGTTTTATAAATCATAAAACCATAAACTTTAAAATGGTGAAGTTTTTATCTGCGATATTAATCTAAATTTTAATTTATTTCAGTTTTCACACAGTGTATTTTGTTCAGTAAGTCGGAGTTGTCTTCTTGCCTTGGTCACTGTGGTATTCTATCTCGCGCACCCCAGTGACCTATTCATTATTCTTATGTTATTAAGGGTTCGAAGTGCAAGGTCTAGAGTAGCTCGGCTCTGAAGTAAAATTTAAAAGAATATTTGATGGTGTGCTCATTTACTTAGGAACACCTCTCCTTGCACCAAACCCTTGATTACTTGGTGAACCATTCGTCCATAAATTGGTGACCCATTATTAGCTTATATCACCCAGGGTCCGAGGGTTGCTTAGCCTCTACCGTGGATATTCGGTGGTCCTCACACTTAGGAACATCCCTCCCTGCCCCACAACATTCCTTTTGTTCATACAATGGTGACCCATTCATTAATTCTTACCATGCAGAGTCCGACGGTAGCATGTGCAGTGAAATAAGCATATTTCAAAATTATATTTAGTATGTATATAAGAATACTACTTCCTGTCCAATCCCACCTACCATACCGTTGTTGCGTTGCTCTTTACTTTACGTTTCCTTTTTATTATATCATTCAGGATTCGTGTAGTACAGTGTAGGATAGTCTGAGATCGGTCATTCAAACAAACCCATCCTTGGTCACAGCGGTATTCTATATCTTTTTCCTTAGTGGCCCCATATGTCCTTACATTTAATATTTAGCGTCTAAGGTCAGTCCCTGATCCATGGTATGAAGTAACTATGTCCTATGTACTATTCGATGGCGAGATCATTCAGGATTGTCTGTTACCAAATGACTGGGAAGCCACTTTCGGAAGTTGAGCTAAGTATAGGCGATTGCGAAATAGTTCGGGAGTCTTGGTTCGATCGTTGTTGTTTGATTTGGTTCTTAATCTACGGGCCTTCTAGAAATATATTGCGAGTCGAATCGAGATTGTGGTATGGATTGAAAGTTAATTGTATCCGGTATATCGATAAATAAAACCTCTATATCTTAGATAAATTCTCAATAATAGACCTACTGTTCTACCGTGTCTTTGATCACAGAGAGCATGTTTTGAAAATCTAAAAAGTCACGTTAGACTGTGGGGTATTTAAGGGTGTTATTGTGTTATATTGTTCTTTTGACCCAGATGTTTATAGGGGCCAGGGACCACACCTTTCTTCTGAAAATACATTCTCGAATCAAGTTTTTAGAAATCATCTCTACGTTTTCTTTTTGGGGATATGAAAAAGACACCAACTACATGTCGAAATAACCGTCGTTTACAGGGAAACTGTATGTAATCATGTTACCCAATATTGTTCCAAGTTTATCGATCGAGTCTTTATCAGTGGGTCTAGATCATCACTAAAATTGTTATCTCATCGCACGATTAAGTAACGTAAATCGATATTGTTTATACATTTGATCATCGAAGGCGTAATGGCTTCAAAATACTAACAAATGCAGAAATCATATGATAACTTCTGTGATTTACAATGAAAAAGAATATCAAAGTTCACAGCATTATTTTAAAAGATTTGTGACTGGTATTATATTTCTCTTTCAGAATATTCTGTTTTTTTTAAATTTTAATTTTTTACCGAGGTGATACTTCTGGATTATTGTCCTTTAACATAAGCAAAAATTGTGTTAAAACTTAACCAGAAAAAATATAGTGATCTATATACAACAAATTATATTTGACCTCAAATATTTCATATCTTTAAGCTCTATTTATGAAGTTTTCTACATTGAAATGTATTTCATATTTCCATAATAAATACAGCAATTGAATCTGTCAAAAAGTTGAATGAATCACAGTAGGACCGTCATTAACTTCTAACCAATATTGTCAAAACAAAATTCACTTTTCATAATGCTATTTTTGTGCCTCAATGAAAACTTCAAATGTAAAACTGTCCTAAAAGTTATCCCCCGCTGCTGGGAACTCTTCAATTTGTGAAATTAAAAAAGGTGACCCAGATAGTATCGCAGAATCCGGTTAGGGTATTTATGTAACCTTTATGGTATATAACATTATGTTGGTTTTTTAACAGACACATCTTCGTGTTGGACTGGTATTCTTTAATGAACATTAAGTTATGCATATTTCGAATATGATCTGACAAAATTGTTGAATGTCTCATGTTCATATGCAACCATCAAATATTCAGTTCCATTAAAGATTGTCTTACCCTATGAAAAATTCCACAGAACACGATTGAAAGAAGAACCATGACATGGTATGCCTAAATGGGGTCATCTGCCTCAAACAGAAATATCCAAATATGCAATTTAATCAGAATAAAAGCGGATCGTCACGACGCCTTTGGGATTCGTGTTCAAAATTTAAGGAAACTGTCCGGGTGAAAAAGGGCTAAGTTTTGAAGTGTTCAATATTTCAAAAATGAACGAGACCCGTTTTTTTTTGTGTTCCTGCTACGTCTAATGAAATAGCATAAAGACGTAAGCTTTCAGAAGGGCACAGACCGACGGTATTGGTTTTGAGATTTACTTAGGTCAAAGGTTTCTTGGATTCTGGGTAAGAAGGCGTTTAAAGGGGCGGATTGTTTCTAATCAAACGTGCACATTTTTTTGATTAAGAGATAAAGGGATGTTCACCCTTAAACGGTTCATTGTCTCTGTCTACAACTTTTCCAACCCACAGCCAATCAAAGACTCTCAGTAGTATTTTCAATTTTGAAATTGATATTTGAATTTATACAATAATGATTGTCAAAATTTGATTCTGTAAACATCGTAGACAGAAAAAAACCATCTGATAAAAGGAAGATTTGCAGACCTATACTATTTCCTTTAAAATGGAACCCCCTTTAAGGGCGTGAATGTTTAACATGTTATTTGGGTGAGGGTGGGTCGAGGATAGGTGACTCCAGGTTACACAACTCGGGTTTCAAAAGTCATTAATACGCCCTTGACAGTAGCCAGTCTCGAGACCTAGGGAGAGTGGTAAGGACCCGAGTCTATTGTCCACCTATTAATAAAAGTAAATGGTTATTTAAATGTCTGAGTTTATAAAGAAGGGTAATACTTTAAATCAATAAATGAATGGAAGACACCACTTAATAAAACCAATAAATCATATAAAAAGAGACTGGTAGAGAGAACGTGTCATATAAAAATAGTACAGAACGTAATATTGATCATAGTAGTCTGCCCCCTCAAAAGGTCTTAACCTACGCCCAATATGCGAACATTATTGGTCAAACCACAATTTGTGCTGGCCTATGTATATTGTTTCTTAAAAGCACTCATAGTAATCTGCTCTCTCAAAAGGTCTTAACCTACGCAGAACGATATAAATCCAGTAATGGTCTAATCTACAGTTTGTACTACAGTTTGGAGTTCTGATACATCGGAGATTCTGCTTGATACCTTTGCTTGATACACGTGGTGCCTTTCAGCATCAATGCTGCGTCAAAAACTTCTTACTATATAAAGAATTGAAATTGACGAACCGACTGTTTGACAAGATGCGCGTTTAAGAGGGAGTTTGTGCCTGTATCAAGAATTATGCCCCATTCCTTTTTTGCAAATTGTGATCCTGTGATACGTTAGCGATCCTGATTGATACCTTTATTTCAGGCCGTTGGCCCTTTCCGATGAGTTCAAGTAGCTAATGAATTTTGTTGATAGCATGTTGAGTTTTGTCAATTGGGTATCCCTCACAGAATCCGCAGATGTAATAATGCTGTTTATTTGAAATAACTCATTTATTAAGAATAAGAGACCAATGACACTGCTTAAAGGTTAGAGGCTGCCCAAGAGATCTTTCTCCAACGATGCTTTGCCAATAATTTTATTGAACGTCCACTGCAGTGAGTACTATGGTGGGGATTACAAGCAAGACTGCCCGAAGGGACACCTGATGCCACTCTGCGACTTCGAGCGGCATCCATATTCACGATACTAATAATACTAATTTGCTTAATTATCATACGCATCTACAGTAGTTGATGGCATTTGGATCATAATATACTGAACATAATTAACCTTTGAAATACTTTGTCAGTTCGAATTCAGTATTTAATGCCAATTATAAATTTCGCGGTGATTAGTTATTCATTTATTGTTCAAATCATCAAAATTAATTGGTATTTATCTGTATAAATGTGCCGTTATTATCGGTATATCCCTATATATAAATATAGGTGCTGCATTTGTATTGAAACACTATTACTGAAAGGTTGCAAAATGAATCGCTTAGCTTTATACGCTATCGCCGCTCTGGCATTGATGTCCAGTGCCAATGGTTTTGGTATTGAAAGAGGTTTCTTAGATTTATTCATGAAAGCCGGTTCCGAGGACCAGTGCCAGGATTGTTTGGATTTCTTTGGTGATTTGTCCAGTGTGCTGTCAGGACCTGATTTCGGCGACAGAGTGAGGCAAGGCTTGGAGGAACTATGTTCAGAAGTAGGTATGGATGTTCAGGAATGTGCTGACACCAGTTTGTTGTTTATCCAGACTGTTCTTGGAGCTCTTACCGCTGACATGCCAGTACGAGATATATGTGATACTATAGCTTATTGTGAACCTATTCCAGATACAACTTCCCCAGCTCCTTCTACAGCAGCGCCCCACTTTTAAATTCCTGGAAGTAAAACCGTTTTTCTGTTAACATTATGTGTTTTTAATGTTGATATTTTCATGTAAAATTTGCCTGCGATATATTTTGATTGAAGGCATCCGATTATTGAACCACCATAGCAATAAAGATATCAAAAACTGAACAGCAACAAACTCCAAAGAAAGAAAATGGATAAATTCCAATGAACTTCGCTGGGAAAAAAATCGAGTAAAATGAATGAATTAGAGTTTTATGCCCGGGCCTTCCAGAGACGAATACCGTAGAATTAAGAATCAAAAAAAAAAAGCATTTTGTTTTAGATGTTATTCTGTGTCTTTGAATCTTTTTTGTTGTTATGTAAAGCAAACGTTTTGCAACCTGATATTTCTGTTAAATACATTTATCTTATTTGTTGGTATTTCCCTTATTTTAATATGACCACTATGGTTCCAGCCACTGTACATTATCTGTAAATAACTGCTATAACAAATAGTGGGAGACCCTATCACCAAGAGTCATTGGTTGCAACCTAGGGTACACGTAACCCCAAGAGACATACACAAAGAAGGGATACTTGAGCAGCTTTGGTTAGTCCTTTGTTCCAGTAATCTTCCAACGACACCCACATTTATATCTAGATAGTAATAAATATGAGCCATCCATCAGTGCCATTGATGAAACCAGATCCATTATATTATATATCTTTTACTTCATTATCAAAACCATTGGGATTCATTGTAGATATCTTTGGTACATGCAATAGTGACCACAGACCGAGGGTATGATATACTTAACCATGCTCATCTTCACAATGTAAAGCTACTACTTCGTGACTGCAATAGCCACCATTCTTGTACCACGGAATGCAGCGATTTGATTGGATTGTACACCAGCGAATACAGCCAATTAGAGCCCTCGACAGAAAGACTGTAACCATGGCTTATGGTTTAAAGTCATTTTATAGATTTTAATCTATAAACACATTTTTGTCTTTATTTTAAGGCATCATTCATCTCTGGATTAAATTCCAAATAATGGCCTTTCCTCCTGCTGTACTTTGTCTTTTCTGAGAGCAAATGTGTACGTTCGTATTTGAATGTCGAAAACATTGCCATGCTGTCAGAATTGCTTACCATGATTAGCACTGTGAATTCAAACCATTGGCATCATGCGAGCTTACATGCGACATACAACATGCCTTACATGCGACATACAACATGCCTAACATGCGACATGCAACATGCCTTACATGCGACACTGCAACTCGTAACCGACCAAACTGTTAAACCTCAAGATGATATTTAGTGTGCAGTGATCGGTGCACGACAGTTGAGTGGCAAATACAATTAAAACCATTCAACCAACCCAAGTTTCTCGATTGTCAATACTGACTTTTCATTGGTTCAAAATTATGTCAAAACATACTTTACTATAGAGACTATTCATTCATTGAAACATTAAATTATTCAAAAAGCTATATGATTTATTTAGTGGGCGCGGCTTAACAAGATAACTGTCTTTGATTGGATTATTTATGATGACATTATAACATTGTTTGGTTGTGAACCAATGGTATTAAAGTTTATTAGAAAATTTGTAAAGTTTGCAGTATATACTTTGAAGTAAGTTATTTTCATAATTTAAACTGCGTGTATATAGACGCGTGGATATCGTGTACTTTTACTCTGTACTCCAGCATTCTACGAATTATTGTTTGACTGTAAGGGATATACTTAGACCTATTACAGTTAAAATCAACGGATAAGTAGAAGATTCGATTGAGGACTAACCATTATTCAGTAAAGTCACAAACGTCCATGATTTTGACGATTTTTAAGGATTGGTGAACGGTTCTTGCCTAGACTTACAGTGTTTATTACATTTTATAGTCGGGAAAGGCTTCTGTAAAGAGTCAAGAATAACCTTTAACAGGCAGTTAAACAAGAAGCCAACCATTCGACCAACGAGCAGCAAGATCAGCAGCATGGAAGCTACAGAGATCACGACTGCACCAGATACCAAGAGGAAAAGTGGAAGATTAAGCCAACAAGAGAAATACAATTTTCGGACAAGTTCGTTAGTGAGTCGTGTACAGAGTGAACGAAAAAGAAACCAACCGAAACAACCAAAACCGAAATCACGACCACCACCTTTGAGTAAATATCGGAGGAAGACCGCAAACCACAGAGAACGAGAGCGAATGCAAGACATGAACGATGCGTTCGAAGCATTGCGCAAGGCTGTTCCGGGTCCCGGAGAATCCGATCCGAAACAAACTAAAGTGACAACGTTAAAATTAGCACTGGACTACATAGCAGCACTGCGGAATGTTCTAGGATATGGATGTGACAGTTCAGAATCGGATACCGCAAGTTCCTCTCGTGGCTCAGAATTTTCAGAACAATCATCGAATGCGGATAATTCTCAATGTGAACAAATGTCTTGTGATATTCTGAATTCTGATGGCGAATCGTCCAGTCTTTCAATGTGCGGAGTGTCTTCTAGTGACGAATCGTCTTCAAATAACGAACTGGACTTTACGACGCCATTCGACCTTGGTGACGATCTGTGCATCGACTTCGACGTAGACGTGGCGTTGATGCTGTAAGCGAAGGCGCAAACAAAACACGTAGGTTGCCTGATCTGCATTCCATGAAGAATTAACAAACGTTCGATCATCGTAATCGACAGTTTTGGACGATTTTCATTGATGTCAGAGCTAAGTTTATTTAAGCGTAAATATTTTTCTGATTGTCTGGTGTGACAGCGGTTAATGAACGGACCAATGAAATTACAAACATTGCTTCAGTTAAGATATCTAATGGTGCTAACAAGTGCACGGACATCTCTCGTTCGTTAAAGACTAATTACAGGCTACGAAACAGAAAACTCTAATGTGCTAGTAGAGACAACTTTGGTAAAGTAGGGCGATCAAGTACCAAACAAATCAAAAGACATAGCTGCGCTGTTGGAGATATCACTGTAAAAGTAGAACCAATTCTTCCAACCAATTCAAAGACTATTACAGTTCAGATTTATGCAAATAAAAACTAAAACATGCCGGGGAATTTAAAGTATTAGTTATGTTTTATAAAGTTTATAATGAAAAGGATATTATAAAAAGGTTAGTAATAAAGAGTAATATATATTTAGAGTCTACCTCAATTTTTGACGATCAAAGGCAAATAATATTTTTGTACGTTTTGTAAATAAAATTTTATTGATCAGTATGATTTTTAGCCCATTTTTATAGCCCTCTTTTAAGATCTGTTTTTATTGAACCTCCCAAGTGACTTTGGTCTTTGCTTACTCCAAAACATAGTGCGTCAGGGTTCAATCCCAGCATAGGTCGTGATATACCTTCAGATTTTCCAAACTCGTTGCCCCTAGTCAATGATGCAAGTCAGAGGGACTGATATGAAAACAAAGCCATATCAAACCTTAAATGCCTGATGCTGTGGGTCCCCCTTATCAATTCTGTGACCCCTACACCCCCCCCCCCCCCCTTTTTTTTCTACTACATACCCCTAAATGTGAATTTGACGTTTTCTTATATGTATCGACAGGATAAGGTCTGCTCTAAATGAAATTACATTTATACATCAAAAGAATGCCCATACAGAATGCCCTACACATTTTTTTATTACGACGATTCATTTTTCGAATCAAATTAACCCCCATTCAATGCTACAATCATTGTAACAGAACAGTTTAACCCCTATCTATTACACGATTCACTTTTACAGCAATACATGTCAAACCTTTGTATTGCAATCGATTTTTAAATAAACCTCAACAAAAAGCGAGTTTTGAACTGTCCTAAAAAAACTAACACTAAGGTGAACTAGTTACCTATTTGGGTAGTACATGTATATCTGTGACCCCTTTAATAACGCACAGTAATTGTATGTGATATACGTTCTATATTCATCTACATGAAAAGTACATTATAATACCTTCCCGTATAGTCAGTGAAGATTTAAACTAGAACTGTGAACAGCTCCCTGTACTTTTAAAGGGCATGATGCAAAATGTTGATTATTTATAACGCACTGTAATTGTATATTGTATATGATATACTTTTTATATTCATCTGATAGGTTAATACAATACCTTCACAGTGGAGTCAGTGAAGAAACAACTTAGTACATTTAAACTTGAGGTATATTCACAGATTTTAATTAACATTTTTGTATGAGTATCAGGGATACCCATTGCTTCTAAATGCATTGATTTTACGCCCGACTTCTGTAGTTGCTGTAACACTTTCCAACCTATGATAAATTCTCCCGATTATGACGTCGTTACCCCAAATACCATTTACTTGTAGTCAGATAACGAATGGACAATCGTAAGAGGTTAAGGTTCTAGTGCACATTAAAGAAGGGGGGGGGGGGGTGATTTGGGTCTTCAGAAGTACATGTACTAGAAATGTACAAAAATCGCATACATGTATTTTCTTCAATAATACTTCGAACTAGAAATTTCTCTTTCTATTTCTATACATGTCTTTTCTTTATATGGTAGAGTCTCAAGAAATGACGACTGTTCTGTTAACTTTCAAACGTGGATAATTGTGGACACACGTGGATTTGAAGCCCCAAATTTCGATGGTGAGCATTGAACACTATTACTGATGAGCTTAACTAAAAAGTTCCGGTTTCTGAGACTAAAGTACAATTGGTCAAATGCGAATCTGTCCCTTTAACTGGCCAGGGAATCTTTTTTGAATTCAAAGAAGTTTGTACATATAGTGATTTGATTAGATTATATCATACAGCCAATCAGAGCCCTCAGCGCAGCTATATAGTTTATAGTCTTTTTGTCGAGGACTCTGATTGGCTGTATTCGTTTGCGTACTATCCAATCAAAGTACTTTATTAATATACTTCCGTGATACAAGAATAGTGCCTTATGACGTCAAGGTAATAGCTTAGCATTGTAAAATTGGATTTGAATCTGTGTCTTATAATCCCTTCCTCGAGTCTGAGCTATAGTGCTATTCATGTGTTGATGATTAATCAGTTTGCAATATGTACACTTCTAGTCGACAGCTAGAAATTGTGATAAACGAACTGATTTCAATATTTTAGGCCCTGTTGTATTCTCTGGTAACTAAAGAAGTTAATTGAAAACACAAATTTCAAATAATATAAATATTTAACATAAAACAAATGATTCACAAAGGAAATTACAATAATCAACTATGTTATCTGTTGGCCCTGAAGGGAGAGGACTTGTGTGATTTTTTTTTTCAAATAAAATGAGGTGACAGTACTAGAGCCTGGAGGGAATCGGGGGTGTCAAAAACCTTGATGACTTTATATGATACCAAGTTTGAATTTTGAATAATAACAAATCAATGCAGTTAAGTTAGTCATTTGAACTCCGTGTCTCTAAAAGTGTTAAGGTGGTAATGTAATTTCTGCTGGCCCCCCATAAGGTTGCTTTTATATTCAACCTTTGAAAAAAACTTAGCTCTGGAACTCCGAAGTGGGTGTTATAAGTTGAATTGCATCTTTATAATGTCAAACTATGAAATGCGTCGCAGTCGCTAGTGTACAATTTAATCAAGTCGCTGCTTTCCGTGATACAAGAAAGGTGAAGATGGTGTTTGTAGTTTGTAAAAGCATGACATTGTGAAGATGGTGTTTGTAGTTTGTAATAGCATGACATTGTGAAGATGGTGTTTGTAGTTTGTAATAGCATGACATTGTGAAGATGGTGTTTGTAGTTTGTAATAGCATGACATTGTGAAGATGGTGTTTGTAGTTTGTAATAGCATGACATTGTGAAGATGGTGTTTGTAGTTTGTAATGGCATGACATTGTGAAGATGGTGTTTGTAGTTTGTAATAGCATGCCATTGTGAAGATGGTGTTTGTAATTTGTAATAGCATGACATTATGAAGATGGTGTTTGAAGTTTGTAATAGCATGACATTGTGAAGATGATTAAATTGCAGAGTGGGATAGATGTTCTTCAATCAAGTCTCTGATGTACTTTTAATGTACTTCAAGATATTGTAGATCATACTAAGCTACAGCACTGGTATTTTACATAGGAACACATCGGTCGTTTCGTCCACAGGTTCACTAAGATCATTACAATAAAAATGTATTTGTGATTTTATAGACTCAACTCACGATCATGTTACATTATTTGTACTCGTGAAACGTTGTAAAAACGCGGTAATCTTTCAGCTAAATTGGCTCGCTATGACTTTACGACGTTACTAATCAGAGTTGTCCTCGTGGCCTACTTCTTTTCTATTCATTTCGTCTTTGTGTGAATTTTTTCAATGAAATAATCGATAATGATCAAGCTATAGTTTCTTAGTAAAAATTAACAATGCGGAAACGGACTTAACGAAGAAAAAGGAACCACGACCCATAAACAGATTCATAATAACTCGTGAACTTTCTTTTTCAATCTTATACAATGAAATATTTTCAGTATCTCGCTATCTCATTTGTAATGTACGGGGAGGACAGCCCAGCTTTCCGTAACCTTTACCAATGAAGTTTTATTGAACATTGAACAGTGTCCAAATAATAGCATTATTTGGATGTTGGTAGAAGTGCTTTAAGTGGTAAAGCAAGGCGACGTCATTTTGCCTATCGTTTTCTTAACGAGCATCAATGACTTTGGTATAGCGTAGCAATAACGTTGTAGAATTTAGACACGAACTTTACTAGCTATGGTGTCTCTGCAAAATACGTGCTGAGCCAACAGATGCCAGGGGTATCAGACATTCTGTACGGTAAATTATTTGAGTGGGCAGATAGTTTGATAATTGCTGAAACATCTTTACAACTATACGAAGTGTTTGTCATAGAAATATAATATCGCGATAATTGCAAAATTAAATAATGTAAAAGGCTACCAACTTGATAATTATAAAATGTTTAACAGTATTTGCCCCAAAAGTTTGAATTCATTCAGTTGTTTCTTCCTTAACCACGCAACTAATGATTCGTAACTTTGGGTAAACACTTGAAAATAATTACACACGCTTCGGAGATTTACAATATCAACTACATTCAATTCATCGATAATTTGAAATCATTTCCAATACATGCTCTCCATTGATCGTCTTCAAATACGTCGCCATTCACAATCAAAGTCTTTTGAGCCCAGTAGACCGAGACAGGCGGGGCAAAAATTAAACGTGAAAACAACCCTTAATGAGTAATTAGGGAGCATTGAAATCATATATTACTACTGTGCACTTAGGTGCAGTGTTTCTTTCATTCATCGTACTCTATTCACTCACCAAAGGGATTTTTTAAAATAGTTTTTCTCAAATCAGTTTTTATGTGGCGTTTTCATATTCAATGATTAATTAATATGAGAATCATCCGAAGAAGATTATCTTAGCTGTTTCTCATCATTTGCCTAAATGTAATAATACCGTGATGTTGCAACATATACACTACATGTGTATCAAATTCGTTGATCGTTTATCCTTTACACTAAAATCATCTGAAATGGTTAATCTTTCTTGTGGTTTGCTTTTACTTGTTCTTCATGTTCATCAAACGTTTGTTATCAAGAACAACAGCACACAACCACATACAAATGACCACTGAAATTCTATTTCTATTTT